CGAATTCTGGTTTCGTGTTGTGCATCAGCGGATCTTCGCAAGAAGGGGTCTCTGCCTGCTGCTCTGTAGCTTCACTCCAGACCGTTTGGGCCTTGTTCAGTTAATATAGGACTAGAACTTAAATCATCATCCCTTCCTTGCTGCTCGCTTTTGCAATTTGTGTGCAAGCCATTGTCATGGTTCCTTCGATTAGTTAAGTTCCTTCACAAGAACCCTGTAGGTTACACCGCAAACCCAACACTGCTTGCACCTGCACTCTAAACCCTAGACTTCTTGACCCTTAAGCCCGATACCCTAAAATCCCCTGGTTCTAAGTCCTTATCACTAGAATCCCTCAACCCAAAACCCGAGAATCTCCAAAATCCCTTAAGCCCTAGATCCTGATCCCTGGAATCCCTCGAAGCGCTGATCCGAGTCCCTTGGCAAGGCTGCGTTGACGATCCGCGGTTGCTCCCAAGGAAGTAGCTGGCAGGCACCGACACTTCGGGACTTTCTTAAAGTTCGGAGGAAAATGGAGGGCCTTATAGGTTTAGGGAGTATCTTGCACCACTATTAAACTATTCAGGAGCCCTGAGAAATAGGATTAGGACTTAAAGTATTGAAGCTTCCAGATTACCCTATGCCCCATATAGGTAACCGGTATCTGTAGTGACGCGCATAGCAAGATATCTCTATTCTGGCCCCTTTGTCCTGCATCCCCCAGTCAGGTAGCGCCGATTTTGTGTTTTAAGGGCTGCACCTTGAAATTAAATAATCAAAGCCGACTTGTTCGCAAAAAATTGGGGTTCACAGTAATCTCTGAGTGTCAGCAAGAACTCTTCAGACCCTCTTCGGTGCCCTTTCAGAATGATCCTAAACTCAGCAAAGTTTGCAACATAACCTTCCAAATCCAAAAGCGCTACATCCCTGAGTTTCGTGCAGCCCTTACTCCATTGACGCCCAAAGTCCAGAAACTAGGCGAAACGCCTGCACCCCCAAAAAACCTAAAGCTAGCCTGACACCCTAAAATCGTCAGACCTGTACAGCCCATCCCTGGTTTTTGAGGCTTCCGTGGAGGTCTTTCGACAGGTGCGCTGCTCAGCTCCAAGGTTTCGGTGGGTGGATCGGAGCTGCAGGGAGGTGAGGCATTAGGGTTCAGAATTCGTCTAGGATTTTGGGTTTAACTAGGACTTGCGAGCTTTATGCTTGGGCTTCCGGCTGAATGGATTTGGTTGATGGCTGGAAAACCGGTGAAGCTTTCTAGGTTGTAGCCCTGAGCGTCTAAACCCAAAGCCTCGTGATGATGGGCCCTCGGCTGGTGTGGCTGGATGGTGCTGTTGAGGAGTCACTCGCGGATGGTGGAAGTCTTAATGCCTCGTCGTCTTCTGCCTAGTGAGCGTGCTGTTTTTACTCCTCTCATGAGGTTTCTTTCGTTTTACTGTGGTGTTCTGCCCCAGTGTATGCTCCTCGGCGCAAGTCTCGCCTGGCTGGATGGAGTAAAGTGGCTACCGCACTTTAAAAAAACCCGAAGCCCCAAATCCAAGAATTACAAGTTCTAAAGGCGTCAAGCATTTAAACTCTGGCAAACCAACCTCTAAAACCCTAAACCAAACCCGAGTCAAGTTGCATGGAGTCGAACAGCCCCATAAACTTTTCCGTGAACCCCAGCACAACATGAAGTTGTTGAGTCCGAAGCTGGGTTGTCCAGTCAGGCTTGTGGCTTTCAGTTCAGACGTGTCTTAAATATCACACCATAGAGTCATAGAGTCGCCATCAACCCGTATGTTTTAGGGCCTACTGGCAAAGCACGGCCCAAAAAAAAGGTTCGACCCTCCTCCAGTTGGCTGTTTTCCGGGCTGACTCGCGCAGATCTGGAAGAACGGTTGTGTACCACGTCACGATTTTTTTTACGATGGTTGATCCTGTGTCTTGTCAATGAAGTCGGATTCATCTCCCGAAGCAACCCATTTAATACCCCTGCATTCGATGAGGGGTCCGATGAGGCAAAAGCTGTCGAGGGCCTCACAGTCAGCAGCTCTGCCTACAACGCTGCGCTGTACGCTGTGGCCGTGGGCAGGAGACTTGATGCCAGCGACATTTTGCAGTGTTGCGACACCAAGGAATGCTTCATGGTTGATTGAACATTCTGGACCTGAGTTATTGTACGTACTAGCCTCGACTTGGGATGATATAGCTGGTGCACAGTCATGCAAGTAATTCAAGTAATTTTCACAGTTTCCGTAGTTATGGCAGTGAAAGCATTGCACGTTGGTGTCCATAGACAGCCAGATGTCTGGGTTCAGACAGATGTTTGTCACTCCTTGGAGAGCTTGCAGATGATAGCTGCCCGGTCAGATTTTGGATTGTGCGGTTTTACCAAAACAGTTGCTTGTAGCAATGTTTTGCAAAGTACAAGACGCAAGCCGCGAAACTGTGAGTCTGTTACACAGAAGAAGGAAGTACATCGAAAGTTCTGCGCATAGGTATGGTGTCTGCTGAGGGCTATGGTTGTCAAGAAACCAGCAAGAAGCCGGCAATGTAACCAAGAGCCCCCAACCTGCGGATTGCATTAGTGAAGAACTCTAGAGCCCAAGCCCGACACCCAAGGCTCTGAGCCCTAGGCGATCAACAGCGTGAGCCTGTGAAGCCCTAAAGCCCACAAAACTTGTAACCCCGAAACCCAGCACTTTAGATCCCAAACCCCTCAAGTCCTGAGTAGAAATTCTGTAGACCCCTAGCTCCCAAGCCCGAAATTCTGAAGTTTTTGCACCTTGCAGGAGCTGGGGAGGTGCACTGGCACTCCTCGAGGAGAGAGTGGCTTGAGGGCTTGCGGTTTTGGTTTCAGGGTTCAGGTTGCTTTCGGCTTAAGGCTGGATTTAGGGGTTTAGGGTTCCCTGAAATTTGAATTCACGTCATGCTGCTTAAAGGAATTGAGTGTTCAAGGTTTCGCAAGTAGCCCCAAGCCCTGAACAATTGCAAGGGGATGGTCCTTTAATTACGCTCAAGGGTATAGAACCCTTGGTATGTAAGTCACTGGAGCCACAGTTGGCTTCGGTGGGGTTGGGGGCTTAGCCTTCGGCGTCGGGAAGAGCTCCTGGGCGGTGTTGTGTAGTTAGTAAGGTCTATAGATACTTCAGATATATTACACACCAGACTTCGCGTACTTCATATGTCAAACGAGCACACCAGTAGGTTGTGGAGCAGAGTTTCGTATGATTATGAGATGTCTCAAACGTGCCAGTCACGTGGTCATTTCGTAGCAGATGTGTCGGTTGTATTGAGTTCCTTCCATGGATTTCTAGGTTGGCTCCGGGGTTCTGGGAGGTTCATTGACATGGAGGGCCTCTGCCAGGGCCTGCCACGTCGGTATGGCCGGGGGCAGGATGTGTTCCTGCTACGTAATGTAGACTTGAACCCCAAACCCTAAACCAGGATTCCAGCAAACTCCAAAGTCCTGAACGCCAAAATCCGCTCGTGGCTCGATAGACATGTCGTCACATCCAAAGCCCTGCGAACCCCAAATCCATGTCTCCACATACCTTATAATATATATATATATGTATGTATATAATTTTTATTCATTTAATTATTTACATGGATGTGCATATTTTCCAGACCTTAAGTCCTACACCCTCAACTGACCAGTTACTTGGGAGGGTGGGGAGTGCGGATCGGGGGGTTTCCTGCCGAAGGAGATGGCAGCGGAGTTCGTTCCGATGTGCGGCTCCTGGCTTTGGAAGGGTAAGCGAGTCTCTGGGTGGGCCTAGTGTGGGGAAGAAGGGAGGCAAAACATGAATCAGTTCCTATGGGCCAAGTAGTTCATAGACGTTCAACAACCCTTCTCTGAACCTAAAGGGCTAGGTCAAGTTTCCGTGCAACACCATATACCCCTAAACTACGGCGACATCATCAGCTTCTATGATAACATGTGTCAATGGTTGTATGTTGTTGAAATAATTTGAAACTTAATCAGCCGGCACAGCTGCGACCACTCCGCTTCACCAGGAATCTGGAGCAAAGAGGCCCAACTCGTCTTTAATCTATATAGCTCTAGTATACGTAGTCTGCATAGACTCCAAGGGGTTTATAGTTGAGCAAGGTTGGAACACAGAGAAAGGATGCTTGCCCCAAAACCTTAACACCTGACAATGCTGAATGCCCCAAAGCCCAAAGCTCCGGAGCTGCGTGCACTTATTCCATGAACCCCCGCAAGCATAGAACCTCGCAGTGGCCAAAGGACGCGCAGCACCCGCAATGCAGCCCTCCGGGCTTGCACGCTTGGGGTTCCGAAGCAGGCCAGGAGTGCTTGCACGGGAGTTTCTTATTGTAGTTAGTGAGCGCGGTCAGTATTGGCCGTATGTGACACAAAGATGCAGGGTCCACATCAGGGGCGAGGGCTAGCCTAAACCTTAAACGCCAAATCAAAGCTTGGAGCCGAGCCTAAAACCCGAAGCATTCATGCCTAAGCCCGAAACGCTTAAGCCTGAAGCCCAGATCCGGCATCCGAGTTTGCACCAGGAAGGACGGAATCCAGCAAGTCGAAGCCAACCCGCACCCCAAATCTTAAGCAAGGAGTTCCAAAGCAAAACACTTGATAGCCCTAATAACAAAGCCTTAAACCTGCAGCTCACCCTAAACCCTAAGCCGTTAACCCGCAAATCCTGAACCGATAGGCCGAGAACCCTACACCCCAAGCCCCAAACCGACGTAGTCCTCAACAAATCCTATGCCTTATAAATCTCGGAATATATGGGCCGAGGCCCTATGGTTTCTGATTGAGCGAAGACCGATAAGACCCCACAAGCAACTATACTGGACCTTATCAGAAAAAAACACAGCAGGTCTGAAAGAAGCTACAAACAGCCCTATACTTACACTGAAGCCTATACTCCGAAGCCGTTAACTCCTAGAAGAGCTTACAACACCTCTTTCTAACCCCTGTACAAAGTCTTCAGGTAAAGCTCTAGAGAACCAGTGCAGACGCCGATGAGAAGCGCCCAAAGCTTGGTTTTGGATGGGAGGAGGCGCTTTGGGCCTCCACAAGAGCCCTTGCGCTGCTCCGGGAGCATGGGCTCAAGACGTCTCGAGAAGCCTGGGAGGCGAGAGCTCTTTGATTGTATTTGATATGGCAGTTCATATGTTTTGAAGGCTGCGTTAAGGGTTTCTAAGGATTCCCCGTGGGTGTCATGAGAGATTCGCAGGATGAAGGAGCGTACGAGGTCTCCAGACTCTTCAGTGCTTCTGGAATTACGGTGCTTACAGGTTTGGAAAGGGTGCTCATCATCTATGGGGTCTCAGAACGATTTCTGCCTGATGTGCAGGGTCTGGTTCAAATATTTAAGCATGCTAACTGATACTAGCTTTGCAAATGTTAAGCGATGCTAACTGATACTAGCTTCTCTTATTCTCTCCCCAGGAGCGTTGGCCGTAAGGTCTAAGGCCTTTGGTTGGGTTCCCGGTTTAGGGAAGAAGCCCGAAGCTGCGAGGCTCTACAGCCCTACCCTCTGAAGGGTCCAGGTTTGAACGTAACGGTAGTAAATGCCCCTTGGGCCCTGAACCTTAAAACAAGAAGACCCCGAAAAAACCGGTCCAATCAGGCAGAGGGTCTGCCGGCCCATGCCGAGCTGACCGAAGCCGGCTTGAATTTCGCCGCGGGCTTGTGATATGTGCCCTTTAAGGAGTCCCTTTGAGGCAAAATGTTGTCAATGCATCTCAGTGTCGTTATTCGTAAACGGTGTGTGATGCTAGTTGTGGATCGCGGCGAAGCTGACGGCGGTGATATGTTTGTCGGTAGCCCCGATGTTTTTTGGCGCGTCTTATTGTTGTTGCTGTGGAAGCGGCTGTGGATTGAGCGGAAGGCTCTTCATTGTACAGCGTCCAGTTAATCCTCGTTCATGTTTTGCCGAAGGGCCCATGTCCCGAAATCAGATCTTGGTCTTTCTTGTGGCGCCCGATCGAGGCTGCGTCACGTGTGGAGCTTCTCCTGCTCAACATGGAGGCCCGCAGCTTTGTGTGTTGCTCCAAGGAGTTCAGAGTGTGTGCAGAGGGAGATGATGTGAGAATACCGAGCACTGTAATAACATAGACGGACAAAGTTAACGGTCGCTGTCTATCCTTCATGTTGCCTCTTCAGTGGAATCGGAGTGAAACCAGCATAGTTTTCTCGGGGTTCGAGTGGATGGGCCTTCTGTTCCCAGTAATCCCAAAGTTGGTCTAGAGGCTAGGGGTTTAAGGACTTGTCGGTTCTGGAAATTGGGGTGTCATGTCATCCAGTCGTGTACAGCAGAGGGTCCCGATTGAGCACAGAGTTGGTCCAGGAGCACAGGATTCTGAAGTCTGGATGGCCCTATATTCATACTGAGATGTAGAGTAAAGCCTAAAACGTTGGAAACCGGATTAAGGACAAATAGTGCTAGGATTCCTTTTACATTACTCTGAAGGATTGAGGCTGTTGGGTTTCCAACTTTTGGGCTTCTACTATAGGGTTCCACAGCTGGAACCTTAAGGGGTATATGAAAAGAGAGATCTTCACTCACCTGGATTCCGCTCTCTCTTTCGGAGGGCGAAGAAGCTTCTGGCATCGATGTCGATGAAGGCAGGAAAGCGGAGATGCACTCAAAGGGATCCTTCTGCTCCATCTGGTGTGTGTTTTTGTCAGAGTTGGGGGTCCTGCTGCTTTGAAGCAGAAGCCTCTGTGTTCACACCGGTGCCCTTTCAGGGGGCCTGGTTCAGAACAACACCTAGCTCAGAATAGAAAGGCTTTGGCATCTCTGGTTTATCCGCGGTGCTGAGTGGTACCTTTATGCGTCCGCTAGAGCCGGGGCTTGCGATTATGCCCCTTTCCCAACAAACCTTTCCGGCCATGCAGCTGCAGTTTCTGCCAATTCTGTGCAGTCTTCTTTACTCTGTCCACCACAAAGAACTTCATTTTTTGCCTAACCCCAACCACCCTTCAACCTCAGCGCTTGCAACTGACAGGTCAGACCAGAACCCAAAGTCCGTTCTGTCCGTGTGCGTCCCGAGAAGCATCCTGCATCAAGTCTAACGGAGACAAATCCTGCATTGTCCAAACTCAGGATGGCACCAGAATTACGTGGTGATGGTAGCCAGGATTTCTTTCATCAGCGGTCTCGCCCATTATAACCATGATCCTGGTAGGTGGGCCGACGTTACCGATCCATTTTTTCTGAAACTCCCCATTCGACGCTCTGCCCAGAACAAAGAAGCAGCGGCGTGTCCCCAATCCTGCCTCCAGTCGAGGGCTTATAGTGTCGTTGTCTCTTCTGATGGCAACGCCCATAGAGAACAGAGAAGGGTACAAACTGGTGCAAAGTACAAGTGACGTGTGAGCACGGAAAATCCGACAGCTCAACAGACCGCGGGCACAAACGATGCACCAGAACAAGCACGGGTGCAAAAGCACCGTCCGAGAACGCTGTTGAGCAGAAGCTACCAGCCACTGAAATTTTGGATCAAATACATAAACAAACCCTACCAGGCTTGAGCATAAAGGAAGGCATCGGAAATCCTGAACATTTCTGTCCGGTCGTACATTGCGCTGAGCGCTTTGCCACGACGTTCTGTGACAACGGCTGTGTCGATCTGCGTTATATTGGAATGCTTGTGGCACGCTTCGTCGCTGCGAGACCGAGCCGCCGGAGCGTTTGCAGACGCTAGCCTAGTGCCAGCGGCCCTTCTCGCTGGCGCCAGGAGATGCGGTTAAATGTAAATCAATGATCTTAAGGCGTGAGGCACCTTGGCCCGGATATCCTTTTTTGCGGAACACCTTCACCTAATCTACAAGCAGACCGTAGGAATTGACAGCCGCAGGTCCGCGCCGCCCAATGCTGGCCGGCACGAGGCTTAGAGATGTGGTCTTCTGAACAGGAATACCGCATTGAGATATGTGTCATGTCTGGGGATTTTCCCTTCAAATACTTTAAATCCAAGATAAAACGCAAAAGTCCGCATCGGCTTTTTACATGTAAGGTCCTGTAAGGTCTTTGAGACTCGATGCCTCATTCACAGTCTTCAGGAAAGGAGTACGAGAAGGAGCTTCAGTTTAGTGTATGAGAGTTCGGGCTTGGGATTTAAGTTTTGAGGATAGCAAGTAGCACGCTATCTAGCAGATTCTAGCAGCAGATTCCCAGTTGTCAGGCCTGGCCAAGATTAGTCTCGCGGCTAAGTTTCAACTTTGCGTTTTTGCCAAACGCACCAGAATTGCAGGGTCGCCCTCGGTTTGACAGTCCAGAACACTCAGCCCCATACCCGAAAGCAAGCAATCTCATTGTCCATGGAAAACAGAGACTCCTCGCTTGCAAATTTTTGTCTCTCCAGGACATGAGCCGATGCACCTTTACAAAGGGTTAGGGTGTCGAGTATTGCCAAGAATGAGAGAGCACCAGAAACCCAACAGTCTGTGCAGGCTTTGAGTCAACCCATTGCTATTCTACGGCCAAGCCCAAATCAACTTAGGACGACAGCCCACTGAGGAGAATTCGTCCCTGGCAGCCCCTTGCACGAGGACGAAACCCTGAGCCCGACGCCATACCTTCAAAACCGAGAAATCACAAGCACTAAACTCACTAAACCCCAAACCCTAAGCCATGCAAGCGACACCCTAAACCCTGAACCCGAACCCTTAGCCCGAAAACACCCTGGATTGACATCTTTACCTGTTCGAGTGTCAGAGGTTCAGGCAAACAATCAAGCCAGGAAACTGCAATGGCAGTTGTCCGGATTTGTGATGCTGATACTGGGGACGGTCCTGTAGTACCTAAGTACTGTACCCTGAACCATAGTTCATAGCGCTACACTCCTTGCTATGGATAATGCAGGAGTTTGTCACAGCACTAGCAGGACTTGTTTGGTCTGTAGCACATGCCTGTCTTGAGTGCTACCATGTTCGACTGGGCAGTTGGGAGGGTATTAGGTTTTGGATGTATCAGGGGCAGGGATTAAGAGGTTAGGGTTTAGGGTCAAGGTCATGGAGTCGTCCACAGTCTTGCTGTCTGCGTGAGTTCACACTACCTGGTTCTAAGGCTCAGGGCCACTAGATAAGGTAGCTCCAATCTTTCAACACCCCTCATAGAAGCCTAAGCACAGCCCACAAGCCCCCACACCACCAGAACATGCCAAGATATGAGGGACTTTCAGAGAGCAGGGGACTTTGGTATACACAGCAAATCACGGCGATCCTTACTATGCTGCCGTATTGAAACTTACCTCTAGACAGGGTTCCTTTCATGTTCAGGAACCCTTTTTGGCCCAAGTCCACAACCAACCGTCCCCTTCAGCAAAAGCATCCCAAGACTAGTAAACCCTCTACAACAACCCAAGAAATTGACACATGAGGAGCCTAGCATCCACTCGTTGCCCACGAGCCTGTCACTGCAGCTGCTTGGGCTTCCAGGCCTGCATCAGCTCCGTCCGAACAAGGGGGTCTGGGGTGTGGGGCTAAGGTTGTGGGGTCAAGGATTCGGGGTCTAACTCTTCCGATAATTTCATTTTTATATCATGGAATCATGGATGCATTGTTTGGTAATCGTTTATAGTTTTTGGAGTTGGGTCCCGCTACACCAGGGCTCCCTTATCTTCTGATACTACGGAATAGTCCTAAAGAAAGTTTAGCAGAGAGTGGGTGGTAGCAGCGTCGTAGCAGTCGCAGTAGTCCTAGTCGTCGTCGTAGTACTACCAGGCTAGTCATCAACAAACCTAAGCAGAGCCTGCAGCTGAAGAACCCTGGGCCAAAGGCCAAAAGCAGAACGGTTCGCGATCTCAGCATTTTTGATGATGGCTTCAGGCCCCTATTCTGCGACCGATGTGGCTGCTACAGAATCCTGTCGCGAGGCACAGGGAGAAAGCTCCATGGAGGATTACCGGGTCTTGTAGAAGTGTCAAGAGGGATTTGGGGGTTTAGGTTCGTACCCTCGAAGCCCACAAACCTGCATGTCATAAACCCTGCACCCCACACCCTTGTCGGGTTTGGGGATTCCTGCTGCAGGCCCTCCAGTCGCAGGTTAGTGCCGCTTTCAGCCCCAGCGAGGCCATCGTCCCTCAAGCTGCAATGGAGTGTTTGTTGGGTGGAGCATTGGGTCTCTAGCTCCCCCACCGTCCTCAAGACCACTCTGGCTCTGTTCTTGAAGGGTCCTTGTATCTGTTATTGTCGCGAGTTGGGGTGATCGTGGAGTGTGACGACCCGGGCCTCTAGACCCTGCTAGCAATATCTCTTCTCACGGTTGAATAGAAATCTATGCGGCCGGTCGTTCCCCGCATTCTCTTCCGTATTGTTCTAGCGTGTATATATATATATAATGATCATGTGCTGTTTTCCGAACTTAACACAGACAGTCAGTCTGAGGTGCACTTAGTTGGTTCCCGGCTTTATGGTGCCGCACTGGAGGGCGCTGACGTGGACGTTGTGGTGGCCTTTGCGAGTTTAGTGAGTCAGAAATTTGACTTTCCCAACCTCCAACCCTAAATCCGCAACCTGAACCCGATCGAAATCTGATGGTTTCAGACTGTAATCCCGTCTCTGCAGGATCATGGGACTTAAGCGGGTTTAGGATTTGGGACCTGATTCATTTTGCTGCTGTGTGATGCATAGGGCGCAAAGCGCCTCTCCCATTCGTAACCCGACTCTTTTCGCAACCAAGTGAACCTGTGGATTCGGCTCCAAAGACTTAGGCTCCGAGTTCCGAATCCCAGTAGAGTTGTGGGTCAGGGTGTGGCGTTTTGGTTATTGTTTTGGCTCCGGATTTGTGGTCTGCAGAGTTTAGGTTTAGGCATCTCAGTGGAGCCAGGGACACTGTTAGGCGGACATTCTGGAAGCAGGAAAACCTGAAGCCTAGGGGTTGCAGCTGCGGTATTGCCAGGATTCCCAACCTCTCGGACTTAAGCCCGAAAGCTCTAGCGGCTCAAGCTTCAGGCGCCCTCTATGTAAAGCTTCCGTGGAAGGTTCTGATTCTACAGAGGTACCGATTCACAAATGCTTGTGGGTGCCCTTATCAAGGTGCTTCTTAGTCTCTGTGTGCATCCAAGAGTGTCAGTGGCAGGTCGAATTGCCCGCTCCCCAATTGCAGGACTTACACAGCAGGCTCATGGTGTGCACGGGGTCGAAGGGTTTAATTGTTTTGAGGTGTCGCGGTTTTCGGGTTGGAATTTTAGTGAAACTCTAGTGTTAGTTTGTATAGCTTGAACGTGGGGTGCTAGGGCGTTCAGGGTATATTTATGGCTAAAGGGCTTCAGGATTGGGGGTTTTGTTTAGGGCTAGTTGCAACTGCAATTCAAGCTTAGGTCTAGGCCGAACCAGGTGCTGAAGGAAGAACTCTCATGTCTGCGTGTGTGCTCCGCGGGGATTCCACCTGAGTGCAAGAGTTCGGGCTTTGGAACTGAAACCCTCAAGTCGGGTTCACTTATACCCTGAACCTAAGCCCTAAGGTAGTGGGAACTAAGCATCACACCCCGCAGCATGGGGTTTGAGTATGTATACTTGTAAAACTTGTATACCCCATGCTAGTCAGCTTGGAGTTCGCCTTCTGAGTTCCGAATATCGCGAAGTCAGAGGCTGTGCATGTGACGATAGACTAGTTCTACTCAATACTTTCCTGTGTGTCAGTGATTTGACCACATTGGTTTTTCGGGTTTACGTGGGCATTCAGGGATTCAGGGTTTGGGGGGTTAGGGTTTGGTGTGTTAGGTAGTCTCTGTATCCGAGGATTCTTAAGGCCTGAGCCATAGGCCCTGCATCCACATTGAAGATCCTCTCACAACTTCACAGCCGTCACAGAGGTCGCCTGACATCCAAGAGGCGGTCCTAGGCGAGAGTGATGCGCCAATGGCTGTGGAGGCCCCCGTTTCTCCTTTTGAAGACGACCCGAAAAAGATCTTAAGGCCAGCTCCGTGTTGCAAGCGGCGAGCACACTTTGGTCTTTACGTCTTGTTGCCGGGTGAACCCTCAGCGCCAAGCTCTAAACGTAGCTGCATCATCCTCATCATCATTGCCACACTAATCAGCAGCAAACCATCTCCATCTTCTTCTCCATCCTCATATATCATGATCATGATAGTCATCATCATCAGCAGCATGATGGTTGTCACACGCTCAGGCATGTATACAGTATCCATGTTTGCCAAGCATGTCAAGCGAGTCGCCCCCAGGATCGCTGCCGTCTGCTGTCTTCGCGATCTGTGCTCCGCCTTCAACGCCACTTCGAAGGCCTCGGAATCTCAGCTTTTAAATAGGGGTTATAGGGTTTCAGGATGTCGGGGCCGCCTTGGGGAACATGGAGTGAACAGCAAGAAATGTACGAAGTTCTTGTCGTCGTAAGTCTTGCTTTGCAAGGACGAAGCCACCTGCCCACAAAGGAACGTTTTGGAAATCCGAGACACCCCAAAACCGACAAACTCCAAGCCCTACTGATGACCAAGGTCTTTCATTACTCATAAGTACCCTTGACTGTTTGAACTGGGGCACATATCTTGCCTGTTGCTGCGCGCAAAGTGCCAGTTTTTCTATCAACAGTAAAGCGAAATCCCTCGAAGACCCTTCGAAGAGTCACAAGCTTCCCGTGAAGACCCTAGAATAGAAAGCACAACCCGACACAACGCCAGCCATCCTACACGTCAGTCTGAAGACCCTGGAAATCCGGATTAACATATGCAAAGACAGGTGTCCGCAGCGATGCGTGGCACCGGATTGAAGCGGTTCTCGACACGCGCAGGCTGTTTCCGGAGCTCTGGGTGTGAAGCGTTTGCCGGGCTTCAGGGTTCTACTGGAAGGGTGGCTGTACTTGGAAAGTAGGTTATGTTGTGGCGAAGAAGCACTCACGAATTGAGGGCCGCTTATTCAGATCCCTATCTTCACCTCCCACAAAAACAGGTTCATAGAACGGTTCTGTGGTCTTGAGCTGCTTGGGTTGTATGCTGATATAGTGGCTAGCAATGAAAACTAGGGATTAGGGCCAAGGTTAGGGTTGGAAGCATTGAAGCGGATTTCGGAGTTCGATTGGATGTGTCCATGAATTATGGTGGTTATGGGCCTTTAAGGTTTTTGGTCGAGCTTTGAAGGTTCTAGGGTTTTGCGATTAAGTCGTGTGTTTGTGGTGGGTTGAGGGTGTGGGCTCATTTGGGAGTTATGACCCTCATCGCTTTACTAAATCCAAGCCTGTGGAATCGAGAAGAGTGAGCCTAGCCTTGGTGGGCTGCAACCTTCCAACCGCAAGAGCCCAACCGCAAGAGCCTGAAACAGTCAAAGCCGGCTTTCAGAAGCAACTCAAACGAGACGCCTTACTCGCCAGGATCTGTAGAGTTCTGAAGTCCTGAAGCCTTGCCGATCCTAACTCTGGATCCTTATAGATACAGTCTCTACTTTAAGCCTTTGGGCCCTTTAACCCCTCTAAACGCTAAAGCCCTAAAAAGCTAGACCCTAACACCCGTGTCCCTGAACCCAAAGCCCCAGGGACCGGATTTCCAAAAACGGCCATCCCCAAAGCATTGATCGTAATGTTGCAGCATCCTAAAGTCCCCACGCGTTACGAGCAAAATTCTGAATCCACTTATAAGCGGTTTGTATGGGAGGTTCAAAAAAATACCCCGACCGTCGACCCTCTAACCTGCGCTGGATATTGCAAGCACCGTCAAGCTGGCATCCCTGATGTTATGAAACCCCGCATATTTCGGTGCTATGCCCTCACCCTTGTGGGTCAACAGTGTAGGGTCCAGGGCTCAGGGTTTAGAGTCAATTTCGAGCCTTTCAGTGCTGAGCAAGTTGTTCACGTTGCACCCTGAGTACCAGGTTGCAGGCACCTGCCGGCATTTGTGTTTGTTTGAAGCTCCTGCGAACCCTGCGGTAGAACCCGAGACCCTGAACGTGCGAAGGCTGAAGCTGCTCTTCAGCTCTCGAAATTTGGTGCTTCGGAAATGTTCAGTAAGCCTCGGGTCCAGAATCTTAGCTCTGCACTTTTGCGTTGGCAAGCATCCTGCACGTGGAAACACGCCGGCGCCTGCAGCCGCTCTACAAGCAAACGTAATTACGCATGCCGCAATGTCTCATTCTGCACGCTGGTTGTCATTCCAGCCACATGTCTCGAATTATGACCCGGCTCCGAGAAGAAGGTGTCAAGCTCCGCGGTGTTAGTTGTCCGTCGATATCACACTGTTTAACCCCAGACACGAGACAGGCATCTCTGCTCGATATTTCGGCCTAGATGCTCATAAATTGAAGGTAATTGATACGGTCGCAGACGGACGAATTTTGGAGATACTACGATGCTGCCAGAGACACCGCTTGGAGGAGTTCCGTCACATGCAAATGAAAGGGAATCGGTTGGAACCAATATTACTGGCTTGCTAACAACAGTCGTGTTTCGTCTGCATAGCATGCGTTCGTTGCACTTTTGTTGCCTAAAACCTCAAGCCTTAAAACTAAAGTCCTAAAATGCTGCATGCGGTCGCGTCGACTTCGGTAAGGCAACATCCAATCCCAATTCTTGTTGTCTTCTTCCGGCAAGTCGGACTTTTGAAAGGCGGCAGTCAAGCAGTCAAGAATGCATTCGTGTCGTTCAGTCATGTTCCGTTGGCACACGTTTGTTCCGCGTGTCCCCTTTGCGCAACCCGATCGATTTTGCCAGGCCACTGCTGCGTCTCTACCACTCACCACCTGGGCATGCTGCTTTAAAGGTGGAGGCACTCGCCTGTTAAGTGTCGCGTATAAAGTACGTACAAAGTTGAGCTTTGCAATTCCCTGCCGCAAGATGATTTTTTGCCCGAAGCCCTCTGAGCCCTGATTTGCAACATTTAAACCTGGGTCGATGGATACCTTGTACACGCTGTACCTACTGATCTTGCTAGTGACGTACAGCTTGTCTTATCTTCTTGTCCGTCAGGGTTGAAGGGTTAGGTAAAGGTTTGACTTTGAGGTCTAGCATTTAGGGCTGAAAAAGCGTCCAAGATATGAAGCTGTGGGGTGCAAGGTTTATGCCGGGTTCGGCCAAGGTTTCAGGTTCAGGGGGGTAATCGTTCAGGGGGTTCAGGGTTCAGGACATGTTTCGCTTTGCTGGCTACTTTACATGTGCCCTTAACTCTACGTCCACAGCCTTTGCACGTTCTGCTTGTTGGTTGACATTGGGGTCATGTAAGTGTTTGCAGATTATTGCTTGCATCAGGCTGTTTGCTTAATATTATTTTCAGCTCCATGTCGGTGCCCAGTGCAAACGAGGAATTTTAAGATTGCACGTGTTGTGCAACCGGCACGTCTTCGCTCCAATGCTTACAAGGCCGTCCGTCCCCGAACCCTCACCGAACCGAGAATCCCTGGTGAGCCCAAGCTACCCGACAGGTGGGCTTCGACCCGAGCCTGGCGGCGGTGCGAAAGAGTTCCATGCTCTCCTCTCTGGACATCTCACCACGAAAGCGGGTGTTGTACTGGGGCAGCGGATCCCAATTTGACAAGAGTTTCAGGATCAGGTGCCAAATAGTAGGATGATCACCAGAAAAGCATCCTTACTGCGAGGAGCCCCGAATGAGTTAAATGAAGACGACCCCTAGTTCCAAGAAACCCTCCCCCAAAATCGGGTGTGGGGCGACTCCTGGTTCGGACGTAGTGCTCTGGTCTTTGCGCGGCGGCGTCCGAAGGATTTGTGTAAGGTTGATTTTCAGGTTTTCTTTGGTGGGTTTACCAGAGACCTGAGGGTCTTTGGGTTTGAATGTTGGGGTGTTGGAGTGTAGGGCCAGTGTAGGATTAAGTTTTGGTAGTTGATTACGGTTTTGGGTTACAGTACTACTGTCATGTGCCTCAAATCACACGAGAGGGATACGAGGGCACGGACCCCTAAGATTATGGACGCCTACGTAACACAACGAACTTCCACCCGAATGTTTAACCCACGCGTCGAGGCTTGAGGAGGAATCTTCGGCGGGTTATACATAGGGGTGGGGAATTTTCGAAGCTCATGGGTTGGGAACTGAACTATTGAATAACTGCTGATTGTGTTTGTTACATACGTTAAAGGTTCCTGTCAGAGTTCCTGCGATGGTCATGGTGGAGGTGGATGCAGATACTGAAGAAGATGGTGAATAGTAACAAGATGGCGAACATGAAGATTAAGAAGAAGATGCGGCTGCTGCAGCTAATTTCGATGTTGATGCTAATGCTACTAATGCCAATGATGACGATGGTAATGAAGAGGAGGACTCGGAGGAGCATGTGGATGATCATGGTGAGGATCATGATAATGGTCCCTGGGGATGGTGAGGATGATGGTCATGATGGTGATAAACGAGGAGGAGGACAAAAGCCCGAAGCCATCGTGCGCAAACAACATTTCCCCAGAGGCCTACGCAAGTAGTGGTCATGGAGACACGCCAGGAAAATTCCTGCCGCTGGATGGGCCAATCGCTGCTTCAAGCAGGTCAAAATACTTTCGAAACCACTGGCATCAGAGCTTGCCCTGCAAGCTCGCCTGCGATGAACACATCCGTGGTTTCACAGTCCACCCTGCTGTTGTCATTCACATGTCGGGAGGTCAGCGCGGCGACCACGCGAGAGCGAGCCAATTCAACCCCATGCCTCAGTCCCAAGCGCAGGGACTCGAATTTCTCAAGCCGTAGCTAGGGAAGGTTGGCACCCTGACACCTCAAGCCCGAAACCCTTCCACCCGCAAGCGCTCGGACTCGCAAATCGTCCCCGAAGTACAGCATGAACCGAAACCATAAGTCTTCAATAAGGCCTAACGCCTTCGACCCGATAAACCCGCGAACCCGCATATAAACTCTTGGACCCTTAAGCCCATGTACAACTCCAAACCCCGAAAGCACGGAAGGAGGGCCCCTCGTTGGCCTTAGCTCGTCTGGTTCGGCAGTGGACCTCTGCCCGGAGGTTGGCCAGGAACCTCTGTGGGGTTCAGGAGTTTCGCGGATCACAGCTCTAGGGTTTTGTGGGGTGCTCAGACGGAGGGAGTCGGGTTTTTGGTGGTAAAAGCTGTCTTGTCAGAGCTCAAGAGGCTCCAGGCTGTGTTTCCAGCACCCTCAAGCGCAAAAGGACATGAGGAGCCTGTACTGAAAGGTAATGGGATCTGGTGTCTCGGGTTCAAGATTTTGAATGGAGTTTGTGGTGTTTCGGGCACAAGGAGAGCATGACCCTTTTCGGGTCTCAGGGCATTGTCAGGGCATTGGGGCCCTGAGCGCTTTTTAGGGGTTTGAGGCATTGTCTCTGGACAGTCAGCATTTAGGGCAAATGAACTTATATAGTTCGATTCATCAAAATGTTCTGAACAATTACGAGGGGACATAATAAGGAACAATGCTGGCATCCATCCAAAAAGGATGCCACGCCCCTTTTGTCCGGAGCCCTGCTTTAGCCAGATAAAATTTAAGCCAGAATCCTTGACACAAGTCTGACACGTCACCCTAAGGGTCAGAGGGCTCTACGCACAACATACTGCTTTTCCGCATTGGCCCTCATATTCTTTGGGCATTGAGGGGCCCACAGGATGACATCCGCAAGCCTTTGACAAAGCCTCAGGCCGGCCAGCAGGCTGGCTATCCTTCCGGTTTCGCCACCCGGCCAGTTCAGGACTTTGCCTCCTAGGGTAGATGCCAGGCTGTTCAAAATACCCCGTTCGAGGCGTTCAAGCTCCAAAAGCAGCACTGGCACGAAAGACCCTAAGACGCAAAACGATAGGGGAGGTATTTTGCTGTAATCAGAGCAGAGGTAACTGGGGTCCCAGCGATTACCTGTTTTGTGCTAAGCACCTAGTTGTTGACTGTTTCGAGGGTGTGAGGCCAGCTTTTGCCAATGCGAGTCTTGGAAGCACCGTCTCGGAGAATCCATTTGGGCGGATATTTTTGACAGCCAAGGCTCTCAAACTGGAACTTGTGCATGCTGTGCCCTAAGCTCAAAATCCTTAAGCCTTAAACCGTAAACATAGTATGCGCCTTCCTTTCAGTCTCGCAGATGCAGTTTCCAAACCTGGCAGCGAACGGGGGCAGAGTCGCCAGCTGCAGCCAACCTCAGTTGTGGATACTGAACTTTGCAAAAATGCCGCAATTTTTCATCCAACGAGCAAACTGTTGAAGAGCAGTCTCGCTCAATGCAACAATTTTGAGAAAATATGGCCGACTGAGACTTCAAATCGCTTGTGACAGCAATGTGCAACCTTTCTGGCCTGGGCCGTTCAGTCCCCTGGCCCCGAAAATCGGAGGGTGCTGATGTAGAGCTTTGGCCCGTAAGAACCTCACAGAAAGTGCCGTGTCTGCTTGCTTGAGGCATGGTGCCTCCTGGCCGTCTTTTATTGTCAAGGCGGGAGAGGGACTGGTGGTGTAAAGTGCCTCGAGCTTCATGGAAAGCCCTTTCCGCCGCGGTTGCCGGCTATCGGGCCCACCTCCCCCGAAGCCGTCACGAAGACCGCGCAGCAGCGGCAGCAGCAGCAGCAGCAGCAATGCAAGATTCTTTCATAGAGCGCCACCCCTCTAGCTCCTCAAGTTAAACTCCAATCCAGTCCAGAAGACTCGACGACACGTCCATGTGCAGCAAACACACATACAGCAACCAACCCGACATTCCAAACAGCTGTCCAAATGCTGATTTACCATTATAAGTCACTGCTGCGGGGCGGGAAACGATCCACCGAATACTGACGGATACCTCGGACGTAGGCACGAACAGAGACCTAGTTGCTTCAGTTCGTGGACTGGAGCCGCCACTGGGCCGCCTAAGCCCACACGATCGGATCGATGTGCTTGCCTCGGTTGGAGGGACAACAACGGAGTCTTTCTGTCAGGGAATGGGGTAACCTGGCATGGAGGAGAGTGTGATACAGTTTAAACTTCAGTTACATTATCTGCTGAGTATCCGAATGGGCGTTCAGAAATATATACTTGTATGTACTTAACTTCAATTCTTGAAAGCATCTCAGACGGGTAGGGTTTTTTGTTGGCAGGATTGGACACACAGTGCTGGACCTCTTCTGCTTTCGCAATACATCAACCGAGCATTGGCAGTCTACATGTTGCATGTCTGCGTGCAAGGGCCTAGTCACCTGTTTGATCGTCTCAAGCCCTGGATCTATTCTGAACAACTCCAACCCGCTAGTTCGGAGTAACGGCTTTGACTATGGAATATGGATTCGTGATTCGCCCACTTTTGTTATGACCGTCATGCCCAACATTCTCATGAGACGCCGCTTGAATGGGAATGGTTCAGCACCTAGGCCATACACTCTGTCTTCCTACTCATGATATTGTACGAGAAATCGGTCTCCAACACATGAGCTAAGCTGAGGTACATGTTCGCAAACAGGTACCCGTGTTCGAAACAATTTTGGTCACTAGTGCTGCTAGTTGCCGAAGCCTTCATTATCTATACCGTGCTGAAATTATACGCAGAATAAGCGAGTACTTACACGAGAAATTTAGTTGATTAGACTGGGGCCTTGGAGGCTTTATGTTGCACGTTCTCACCAATTGCACTGTGGGGATTCCTTATCATGGTGTCGTTACTTAGCCGCCTAAACTTAAAAAATGTGCCTCTGTTTTTGGCGCAGGGCATGTTTTAGGGGACCCATTGACCTATGGATAAGCTTACTGACTCTCTAACCCCCGGGCCGGGAAAGCCAACCAACCTGCGAACCCTAAACAAACCCCGACACCCCCGAAGCCACGCCAGAAGCTTCTGAACCCTAAATCCCACACTCACCCGCTCTTCTCTCCCCCTCAACACTCCTGAATCCAAAGCCTGCACTTTCCCGATGAAAGCCTGTAAGCAAAACCGTGTCTATGTTTGCTTGCAAGGGAAGGTTCCGCAAGCCTGTCGTCATAAGCGAGGAGGCTTTGTCGGAGGCTGGAGCTACCGTCTGGGGGTTTTGGAGGGTAATGAACCTGCAAGCAAAGCAAAGGCTTTCAAGGGTGACCAAGGATGCATATTGAGTGATGCTATACTTGACCGCCTCTGACAGATGTTTGGGGTTCGGTTGTATTTGCGGGAAGGCGGGGGGCGGGTTAAATTGGCTTGCGGGGCTTGGGGCATGTGCTCGTTGTATTTGATGTTCTGGGCCATTCGACCAGTGTTGTGAGCCCATACATGCCCGGTAATCATGTTTCGTCGCATCCGCTAGAGACACTAAACGCAGTATGCGGAGTACAAGGAGTGAAGAAGACTTGAAGAAGACCCCAGCCTGGCTGGCAGAGGAATTATCATCCGGGAATGAAGTAATAGTTATTTGTTCCGCGGGGGACTTTTGGAGGAGTCTACGTCGGAAAGGGGTCTTGTTGCAAGTGAACAACACAGAGTGCGACGAACTATGGGACCGGCGCAGTATTCATGGGACAACACTGACACCCACCAATACCACATGCATGCCAGATGGACGAAGCTTCTCAGTTCACACGAGAAAAGTCCTGAAGGCGAAGCGATTCAATTCGTAAATCTGTTTGTTTTTGCTTCGCACAGTCCCGAACCCTGATCACCCAATTACCAAGTCCCAACTGAGAAAGCCGTTCAGGCAAGTTCATGGGTCTGAGTATCTGCATTGTGCTTTCAAGCAGGCTTGGGGCTGACGCAGAGAATCCTGCATTCTTCATCTTCATGCTATATACTGTTCAGGAAGACCCCTGAAGGAGCATGTTCCGAATTGCTGGGTACCTTCCCAAGCCTCTCTTGCAAGTCCAGCATCATCGGCAGTTTGTCTTCCAGCAGTGCAGCTATTGCTGCTCAGCGTCATCTTGTACAAGTCACGGTGAGTTGATTCCTCAGAATTAGATCTGCACACCGGACGACGCGCCCAGCAAGAATTAGCAGCAATGACAATCGGTATGTCGTGAATGCTGATCGTGTTTTCGCCGTTGACATATCCTCGCTGCAAGATTACAATGGCAAGGCTGCCGCGCTGCTACCAGGCTTCTTTGCTTTCTATGCAGAGCATTTCCGATGGACAGAGGAGGCGCATGTGGGCTACTACGGTGAGGTCCCTTTCGAGAAGTCCGAAACCCCAAATCCCCAGATGCATAGACCAGCTGCTTCAACCCAAACACTCAGTTCCCGATTTTCCCAAGCTTGCAAACGCTAAGCTAAGATTTCTTAACACACCATTGGGCAGTGACAGCTTCGGACTTGGACAGCTGTTTTGACCAGTCCGCGCCTCTAAGACTTCCAAGGTTCTTTCATTCAAGGACTTCCCAGACCTTCAAACCGTAACACCTAAAGCCCTAAACCTGCTGCTCTTACAAGTTTGCCATGGATTTCTTCGCAAGCTGGTCAGCCTAGAGGTTCAAGGAAGCACTCCAAGAACATATGTGCCACATAGTTTTTTCCGACCCTCAGCCACTCAGAGTTCGGAGTTTCCTGTGTAGAGGAGTGGTATCAGGCTTGTACGGTGGAGGCTTCTGCGGTGCTGTGCTCATCGACAAAAGCCTTGCCAAGTACCAGTAACATATAACATAAATTTCATGCTTGGGCACAATACTTTGTAAGGTGATGCATGTCTTCAACACGTGGGGTCGCAAAGCTTCGGGGTCTTCGGGTCAAGCTTCTGAGCAGGTCGTTTCTACACGCCTCGGCCGACGAACATTCCGGGCCTTGCAGCCATCGCCGCATTCCCCAATTCCAGTCACGGTCGTTACTCAGATACTTCTTTCAGGCTGAAACTGTTAACACTTGTTGATGTGTGGTTCGTGCTTAACACATAGGTCAGTATGTAGATTCGACACTTGCTCGAGTCCACACTTGCTCCTGGGCCTTTCTCCGGGTTTAGGGGTTCGGCGATTCGGGGATTCAGGGTCCTGAAGTGAATACTCTACAAGTAGCTTCCCATGGCATCGTCGATTTTGCAGTGACCCGCGGCCTTGAGCCCAGTTGGCCCACGGACGATCTCGAAGGTTCGTGGAGAGAGCTGCGAGTAAGGGGGGCCGCATGTAAGATAGCGCGAACTACCAATCATGGTTGCAGGCCCCTCGGCCCCAAAGCCCTGAAGCCCAGACCAAAACCATACACCCACAGTCAACCTAAACCTTCAACCCTAAACCCTAAAAGTCTGAGACCCTTAGGCTGAGCTCACACAAAGTGCTCTGCATCGAAGATCCACTGGAGCCGGATTCCGATTTGGTGTGGATCCTTACCACGGCTTAGGGCTTAGGGCGTAGGACTTGTAAGGATTTCTTAGTAGGGCGTCCTGTGATACTCAACTTTGAAACATTTGGCGGGTTTCGGGGTTTCTTGAAATTTGGGACTTGGATTCCGGTAATATCGGGTGAGTAAGATCGGGTTTGGCCCACAGATCATTCGAAATTCAGGTTCGCTGAGTAGGATGCAGAGCACGTTGGCTTAGGTTTGAGATCTAGAGAATTTGGATTCAGGGATTGTTCTATATGGCATTAGATCATTAGCTGTGCTTGCGGGGTTCGTGACGTAGTGTATGTGGGTGAGGGTTAAAGTTTAGAGTACATCCGGGTTAACGAGTGAGCTTGAATAAAAGTTCATCGTGGGCTCAATATATGGTTTTCTGTAAATGTTGTTTTGATGCTTAGTAAATAGAATTGAATTAGTTTATTGCTAGCGCAGCTTCGACATCACCAAGATCATCAGCAGCAATCCCATTACTGCACAAAGCACCATGTCTTCAGCTTGCAACTCTCCGCACCATCATGATCAGCAGCCTGCTCACTTTCAGCATCATCAGAATCGCTGCCTGGCAAGATCATGGCTTCGGATCCAGGCAGGGCTTTGTCTAACGGGTGTGACTGAATCTCTCCAGACTCTGAAGGCCAGCAGAAGTCTCCACCGTCAGGATGTTTTGAAACACAAAAAGGATCGTGCCTTTGGCACCCTGGTGATGATGATGGTGTTTGTGAATGTGATTCCAAACTATGAGGCTGACAATACGGCTGCTCATGACGAGAGTGCCGCGCCCCAAACACTCAAAACGCTAATCCACAACTATCCTAGACCGCCGAACACCGGCCCGAACACCCTTTCAAAGAAGACTGCATTGCCACGGCATCACGCGCTGAACAGCAGACCCTGCTTAGACCCTCAGACTCTCCGTCTAGAGCCCTGAGTCGAAGACGCTCTGAGGCGGCCGCCTATTTGTCGGCGGGTCGTGATCGAAGGCTCCGAGCCGAGCTCCGCCGTGCATTGCTCAGAGCTGGAAGATTCCCTTCGGGGCCCTTGGGCTGGCTGGGGATAGTCTATAGTGTTTCGGGCAAAGAGCTTACCCCGTAGGGCATATAATCATATGGCAGCTTTAAGGTTTAGAGGGGTAGCGCCTTCAGGCATAGGATGCTGCGTAAAGGCTTCGAGTGGATTGGGTTTGCTGTGGGCCTGGGGTTAAAGAGATTAGTGTCTTCTGGATTCATTCCAGGGCTCTGTGCATGGGATCAACATTCGGGCTGATGAGACACCAACGGAGTGGGCTTCGGCACGGAGAGGGTTTGAATGCAAGATACTTCATTCTGTCCGTACCGCCGCCCAACCCCACGCCCAAAGTTAATGTCCAAGGTTTGCGGGCAGGGTTGCCTGCATCCTCGTGAGCTTAATTAGCCCACGGAAAGCCTGACCCTGCAAGGGTCCAAAGTATCGTACTGTGTCATTGTCAAGGAATGTACCGAAACAGGTTCATACCGAACACATGGGCTAGCAGCTATCCTTGTTACTGTATCGTAGTTAAAACTCCGGAACAGAACTCGGAACACCTAGAAGAAGTAACTGCAAAATCGTTTTCCGGTGGAATACATGAACGTGCCCGTTAAGTAAGCTTCATCAAGCCCCAAACTTAAGCCCCAAGTGCGAACATGAATCACTCTTACCCGAGGTGCAAAGCGACTTCTAGGGCAAGGTCCAGGCCACAAAGTCAGGGTTGCCGTAAGTTGCGGAGTTGATGGCTCTGGTCCCAAACCTTAGACCCCGGGGTTGGGTGATCCAGGGCTTGGCGAGTCGATCTTTGACGACTTTGGGTCTCTATCTCTCTCTCTCTCTCTCTCTCGCTCTCTCTCTCTCTATATATATATATGTATATATTTATATGTGTATATATATATATTCTCGTTTATTAATATATATTGAAGATTAATATATATATATATGAATATATATATATATATATTAACTTATGAATTTATATATATATATATAGAGAGAGAGAGAGATAGGGTTCAAGGCTCTTGAGTTTGGTGGTCGCCGGGCCGCAGTGCGATACACCCCAAGACCAAGCCACAAAGTCCTTGGACCGACGCCGAAAGCCCCGACACCCTGAGCAACAGGGTTTCGGGTTTGGTGCCCGTGACCCTAGCAAAAATACGCCTTGTTTGGGGGGGCCTGCCTTCATCATATGGATCTTGCTGCTAAGCTTACAGTGGTGACATTCCACACTTTGAGGCATTGCTGTGCGGGATGGCAACGACATCGATCTCTGGGTGATCGCCTGAGATGTGAGGGGAGGTATGGGGTTTAGGGCCCCAAAGGCTTGGAGAATGAGACATGGATCATGACTATGCGAATTTGGTCTTGCACTCTCTTCGGAAATAACACTATCCCCGGAGTAGCCATTACCCAAATGGGCATTACGAGTTCAGGATCACTCCGTTTCCTGGAAAAGCACGCACGTTCTTCCGGAAGCTTGTGCAAAGAATAGACTAGATGAGATGAACTAGACAGGATTTAAGCTGCTAGTGGGTTCCTATTTTTTGAAGGTGTTTCTGTCCAGGGCGCGACCTTGGTTCCGGACATAGGATACTGGGTCTGGGAGCTTGTCCATCATGAAATCTGCTGACCATGAGGGGCTGTTCAAACCTGGGGCTCCCTTTCACGGCAAGAAAAGCCTTAATGCAGAGCAGCCTGCACCGCTGCCGCATGGAACTGCAAAGGCCAAGTGCTTCCGCCTTCGCAGGGACGTCTAGCAGCAAGAGGCCGGGGAAGGTCTCCGAAACCTGCATTTCGGAGCTCACGGTTCGCAGTGGTTCACTGTCACAAGCTGCAGTCTTCAGATGGAAGGTTCAGAATACAACTACCAACGACGCTACAGCAAGGTCAGGGTTTAGGGCTATGGTGAGGCTCTGTTTCTTTTTTCGGGTGCAAGACGAGAGGCGCTGCTTAAGCTCTTGCTCCAAAGGCCAAACAGCGACAGTCGCAGGGTTTCACTGCGACGTGGGTTCTTGCGTAGGAGCTGAACACTTGCAACTTTCTGAGCAAACCCCTGTAAAGTCTGAATCGTTGAGGCAGGCAGAGCTCTATTCGATTTCGAGCTCCAGCAGGCTGGTTCCTCAAGACGTGCGTATGCACGGATCATCATCTCGTGCTGCAGTTTGGGCCTAGTTGCTTTGAAGTTTAATGGCATTTTAGATTGTATTCGATTGGGGCGCAGTTGGAGTTTGCACGAGGTTTCAGGTTCGTAGCTTCGCAGTTCCGAATGTACCCGAAGCCGGCGCCGAGTCATTCTCCGCGCATGCCCAAAAAGCAAGGCCTGTCTGATGCATTTAAAGTCGCCTCCAGATCTCGCAGGCCCCCGAAACCCTAATTTCATGTGTGATCCGCATGGACAGGTACCCCTCTCGCCCCTCTCTAACCTTTCTTAGCGTTAAGCGCTGTCATGGGATGGTCAGAACGCAGAGCGGCAAATCATGGAAGTGCAGTCGTAGCTTTCATTAACCCCATATCCCTGACTACCTTCAAACACAGGTGCGTGGCAGCCTGGCGTGTGGGCGAGAGTGCACGTACTTCTTATCTTCTGATCTCTGAAACTATCCCAAACGGTAGTTGCAAAAGCGGGTCAGGACCGCCTCAATTCGCGTACAACTACAGCATTCATAGATATGCGTGTTGTCTTGCAACCTTACATACAGCTATGGCAGACAGTTCGTCAAGCTTAGGCTGTGGGGTCTGGGGCCAGGGCTTGGGCCTTGGACAGCGATTCGCTTTGCGCTTGGGGAATCAAGAACCAGGCAGGACGGCCACGCTTCCTTCAATGCAGCCTTTGTTCTAGAGACACGGTCCGTCCCGTAAGCTTTTGGGACCCGTGCTTCTTTCCGTGCAGGATGGGACCTGGCGTGCCGAACCCGACGTCTACTGCATCGTTGGAAGGAGCCTCCGTTTGTGTCTCGAGGCCCTCCTGGTCATTCTTCTTGATGGTTCTAAAGTTTATTTGCTTCTTGGAGCCCAGATCAAGGTCCCTTATTTTATGCAAGCTCCTAGCGGCAACACGCATCAGGCTACTTCGACAACACCGTGCCGTCTTCTAAGGCCCGGCGTACGCTTGCGTGCTGTTGGGGCTTGACGGTCTCAGGCACTCACACCCAACGATATACACCTTCAATCTCTAGACCCTCAACCCGAAACATGAAGAAACGAACCCTGAACCCAAAGCCTTGCAGCACTGGAGCCCTAGAACCTCAAACTTAACAGCCAAATCCTAAACCCACAGGCCAAAGCATTCAACCCAAGGGGTTCCATCTAGTCATCAAGGTATCTGTGCTATTTATACGTCTCAATTCGAGGTACCCATGAACCTTTAAATCAACATGCATGAATCCTATATCCAGCTTGATGAAATGCACTCTTCCCGGTAAGCCAAGACCTTAACAACCTTAACACTTATGAGTGGTAGTCTAGGGAAGCGGTAACCTGAACTTCAAGAGTTCGAAGCCCACAAACCACACCAGAACGGAATCCACAATCGACTCAGTACGCGAGACCTGCTGAATACAGACTGTGTCGCCATCTGTAACTGTAAGAGTAACTCTAAACCATCTGGAATAGGATGCTCGATGCGACCTTCCTACTGCCAAGCCGCGGTGGATCGAGGACAGGGAGGAGCCGACAGAGCAGTGGTTTGGGATTTCCGGTTTTTGGGTTTGCACTGCTCAAGCTTCGGAGGGCAGAAGCAGGGTTGGGATAGGTCTTCAAGCCCCCAAGGCCCTCCCAATCCCTAGAAACACTACTTGAAGGGCCCGGTCGTGTGCGTTGCGCTTTCTCCTGGAGCATCTTCGCTACCCGTGCATCTGGGCTCTCGATGCGCATGAGCCCCCACAGGCAGGTTCTTGTCATTTGTCATCAGAGTACCGTACTCTTCTATGGGCCCAGAAACACGCAAGCCTCTAGATTTTTCAGAAGCTGCCCATGTTTAAGTTTAGGAACCTTGAGGGCTGTGGCATGTTGTTGTTTAGGGTTTAGAATGGTTTTGAGGATGGACTTTCCACATCACCTCCGAGGTTCCGTCTAAAGCCGCCATTTGGCTTCGGAACTTCTCAGCAGCATGTACATCATCCACAAATCTTGCCATATACCAAGTTAGGATGGCTTGCGAAATAAAGAGCCCTAAATGCAAGTACTGGTGTGCTTTGTTAGATGCCGGATGTAGTCTGCTGCTGGGACAGCTCCATAGATAGATCTGCAGGCGCTTCTGTTGCTTAATGACCATCGCCCAACGTCCACAGCCTGAAACCAAAACCCAAAGCGTGCAGAAGCCTGAACCTTAACCAGCTAACCTTGCTTTAAATGAACTCTCCTGCGATTCGCCCGTGCCCATATCCGCGCCCTTTGCTGTCGGCGGATGCTGGCCGGCGACCTGCCTTCCCGGCTGCGCAACGCTACAAGGATGGGTTTGGGGTCTACGTACCTTGCACGGCAAACGTCTCCATAGATGACCGATGGAACCGAGCCTTAAGATGGATGGATGTTGTTTTGAAAGTTGTGCGAATACTTTAGCTACCTGGTCTCCCTTGTTCATGCTGTCCTGGCTTCTGTGTGTCCTGCTTGCGTGTACCTTGTGGGGTCTGTGCCGGGCTTTTCAAATCGTACTGTACGTGTAGTATTCAGATCAAGGGACGGATATTGCATCGCGAATGCCCTGTTCCCTAAACACGAGCCCTCAGAGGGTTTGAAACCCTCAACCGCACAACCTCCAAGTTCGAAGACGGCATGCCTGGATGCAACCCTGAACACTCAAGCCTGACCTCTGAACCGCACGGGTCCACTGAGAGGTGAGCCAAAGCTGCCCACTTTTCATGGCCGCGCTGATCTCTCAAGGCCTGCAATTTGCAACAATAATGTAGTGTCCAGGATTTGCTTCTTCGGGGTTTAGGGGTTCGGGTTGAGGTGTGGAAGGCTTATGGGATCACTGCTTGGATTCTGCACGTGCCCTGAGGGGTGCAGCAATGCAGCAAGAAGAGTAGGCAGCCTTGGAGTTACTTGTTGTTTATTTATGTGTTATCCACTCACAGCTGAACCCATAATTATAAGCACCCGAAACCCCTAAAACCCCCCCTAAACCCGAAACTCCAGGCCGGGCCTGTCGGGCATCCACGTCGACCGCACCGGGCACAGGAGTTCCGCCGGCCGCACTGCGCACCGCGAAAATCACGGGGGCCTACATTGCAGCGATAGGCCGGGGCTGAAGATCTGAGGGTTTAGGTTGCTTGCATAACCTTATAGTAAGATAGTAAGCTCCAGAGGGCCTGCGCGAATCGCGTCTGGTAGGTTGAACCGCGTTTAGAGCTCGGGCGTGGGTTTTTCAGTGGGTTTTCTGACTTGGACCCGTGTTGTTGTATCCTGTTTTCTTTGTTAAGTTTTAAGCAGTACCTGTTGCCCTCCCTGCGTAGCCTCGATTTCTGAGGCATTTGCCTGGTGGTGGCCCCGACCACCCTCTTCGGCCTCGTCTTTGACGTCGTAGAGTTGCAGCGCCTTTGGATTCGAGTCTTCGGCTCCCTCTGCGCGCTGCTGGGATGGTACTACTTCGGCGCTGCCCGCGACGGAATCTGAGCAGGATTCTTTAATTTAGCTCCGAATTTCTGAATCAAGACAGAAGCCATACTACGAACTATTTCAGTCAAGATTGCTGCTGTCTCCCTCTCGCTTTGTTTCTTTCGCCACTCTCGGCCACTGTAAAACCCTAGAAGACCCTTGCAAAAGACAAAACATCCGACCCCTTGACAACGCCTCGTAGGCTGCGTGACTCAGGAAGCCGGGGATTCCTGGAAGCCACGGTGTCGGGTCGCTTCGTCTTGGCACTGCTGCTTTTGGCCATCGTTGGCTCCGAGGCATTCGTGATGAGATTATGTTCAATCAGATGGTGTCACTCCTTTGCCCCGTTACTGTTAGTCGGTGTCCGTCATTATGTTATTTGTCTTTTTAGTTTTGCTGTTGCTAATACTATTATTGCTATTATTAGTAGTAGTCGTCGCTGACGTTGTAGTTGCAGTTGTTGTTGCTGTAGGAGGAGGAGGAGGAAGAGGAGAAGGAGGAGGAGGAGGCTAGCGCTGCAAGATTTACGAGGTGAACCTTGGATAGGCGTGTCATATCAGTACATGGGCAGTCCATAGCATGGCTACCGGTCTGGCACCGCCATCAAGATCATCGTCGGCGGCGTCGTTCCGCTTACCAGTGTCGCAATGTTTGCTTGTACGATGTGGCAACCACTTCTTCTGATCGCCTAAGACGCTGGTTGATGTCCTGCAGGATAAGATATACGTCGTTATGGCTCAAGCCAGTAGCACCGTTGCCATCCTTCACAGGTGTAATGGTACGCCTTTAGATGCTCAATCCACACCGTGTTGCCCGTTCGCAATTCAGCAGAAGCTGTTACCAGCGCACGATGTATTCACAACCTCAAAGTGACAGAGCTGACACTGTTCTGCTAGGAAGTACTCGTAGTATCGGCGCCTGCTTTCGTTGTTCTCGGTGTTGTTAACAGGCCATAACCGTAGGTCTTACGATCCGATCCGTAAGCCCACAACTGAGCCTAGGGCATATATGTCCTGAGTCCTAAACCCGAGCCTGAGCCCCAAACTGCGAACCTTCCTCGCTGGACTGCAATAGTGTTCCACCGGGACAGGGAGTGCATCTACCTCACACCGGGGAGTCCTTCGCCTCCTGGTTTCGATCCAGCTCCTCGTATGCAAAGGCCTCACGCCTGGCCACCCGAACAGTGAAGCACCTCAAAGGTAGGCTCGGCTCTTTGAGTTGTGCCCTTAGCTTTCAGGCTTAGGTTGGGCCCTACATTCGGCAGATCAGCAAGCACTGACATGGTGTGTGGAAGCAGGGTTGAACTCCTCGGAAGTTGTATTGGTGCTTGCTTTGGGCCTGGCTGGAGTTCGAGACTGGTACTCGTCGAGCTCGATATTATCGCTGGGTGTTGGTAGATGCTTGCGATGGATACTGAAGAAGTTTGTCCATTGTCCATCACCACCACTGATGGTTTCAAGGATTTAGGCGCTCCTAGTGCTCAGTTGTCGGTTCTGCGTACTGCATGTAGACACCTGGTTCGTAAGACCGCTACTTAAAGCGAGCATGAAAACTACAGCCTTAGGTCACATGGGACTGGTTCTCCTCGCCGCCACGATGCTGGGTCAAAGCAGACACCCTTTTAGGTGCAGGTCAGGATGCACCAGTTTAGCCGCGATGTTACAGTAGTCTCATTGTAGCATGCCTGACAAAATGGAGTAGTAGTAGCAGTAGTAGTAGTAGCAGCAGCAGCAGCAGCAGGAGGAGGAGGAGTAGTAGTAGTAGTAGTACTAGTACTCGTACTCTAGTACAAGTACTAGTACTAGTTCTAGTACTTGTACTAGTACTAGTAGCAGTAGCAGATGCAGTTGTTTTTCAACTGCACCTGAGTTGCAATCGCAGCAGTGGTAGTCGTCGTCGTAGTAGTAGCTGGTGGTGATGGTCGTATGCGAATGGTAACAGTGCCGTTTGCAGAAGAGAGTTCGAAACACGCTGTTGGTCTGTTGGTTCGTTCTTCCCTAAACTGCAGCTCCCGCGCCTGCAGGCATCTAGAGCGTAGAGACGTGGTCTAGATGAACCCGGGAAAGCCGAGGAATGCAGCTGGGGCAGCTGCCATGCGCCGTGCACTTCGGAGACCCACATGACCAACACTCAAAGAGCTCAGAGTGCCTTCCGGGGAAAAAAGTTCTGTCCTGAACAAGGGATATACATGTACGATTTTTCTTGTATAGTACATCTTGTTAAGTTCTAATACTTGTTTCTGAGCCTCCGGGGTCCATAAAACCATGACAGCCCTCTGTGCACCGGCGCGACCGTATCATTCGACGGCGCAATTCAAACTGCGACCGCTGCATTTGGAAATTGTCTTGTTTTATTTCTCATGGCGAAGAATTTCTACTTATGTGTATGGTACTAATGTTGCTGTCATCCTCGCCGGGTATAGTCTCTACTGGTGCTTGTGTTGCTCTTGTTGGCACTGCTGCCGTGGCCATCGCTCGTCGCCGTAGTCATCGTCACTGCTATGCCTGGTTTTGCAGGTACATGGGCAATGAGAGTGCGCGGGCAACGATGTCTATGCCGGTAGCAGTGTGACGATGATTCTGGGCCTCATATCCAGATGACTGTCATGGTGGCGTTGTAGTTGATGACACCGACTCGAAGATTAAAGCGGTGTTGATGATGATGTCGACGGAGATCTGATGATTGCGCATGGTGGCTTGATCTCTGTGATTTTGCTGCTGATCCTCTTGTGGTTCTGTGGACGAAGATAATGACGGCGATCATGACAGTCACAGTGCAGATGGGCGGCAGATGCAGGCTTCTCAATCAAGTTTAACTTGTTTCTGCTGATGCGTGCATGTATACAAGAAGCACAGAAAAAGAAGCACATCAACAAGTGAATAAAGAAATATGTAAATAGATAACATTAATAGGACAACGACAATGATAACGGTAGTGACAGCAATGATAAGAAGAAGAGTATTAGTATTATATGACACTAATAGCTATAAAAAGTAATGGCAATGATGATGGTTATAATTTATATTAATGTTTATCGACATTGTGGTTGTAAAGTTAGAATCACAGCAGCAGTACTTATAGCAGTAATTAAAAACATATATATATATATTTTTACACACACATATATATATATATATAAGGATTAATGGTCAAAAACAATAAGAATCATGATGGTATTGGCAACACCAGCAGCAATGTTCATAATTATGGCAATAGTAATGATGATGCTTGTAATCCTGATACTACGACTACGACTACTGCCACTACTACTACTACTGCTACTGC